AAGTCTGCCTTTTTTCTTTCAATCTCCTCATTCATACCGCCAGAATTACCAGCTTTAGTTGCTAGTAAATCTAGCCATGCTCTCTTCTTTGCTTCAACTTCCATCCGTACCTCATCATCCCACCACAACGTATTATTTTTCCTTTCATTCGTTCTCTTACTTACACCACATACTTCGGTGGCTGCATCCACTAAAACTTTCTTAATATTATTCCATAGATTCTTCATTTCTAAATCATTCATACACAATTCATTCAACCCACCTATATTTTCCGTCAGTCTGCATTTATACTTCTCTTTCACACCTTCATCTTGTAACCTCTCTATTCTTATACGCTGTAACGCAGTGGTAGACACAGATGTCCGATGCCGCCAACGTTAGAATAGACCATTAATTCGGCATAATACCAAGTAATGATCCGTCCCTACGTTGGACCCCTGGTAAACCCTTGTATCTACCACTGCGCTCCTCATTCTTTCATCCACAATTATAAAATCTATCATGCTTCTATCATCCCCTCTTTCCCATGTATACATGTGAATAATCTTATGGCGAAAGAAAGTGTTCGCTACAAAAAGATTCCTTTCCACACATACGGTGAGGAGGTCTTCACCATTCTCATTTATTCTTTCATCGCAAAACGTTCCTAATATCCTTTCATAACCAGACCTCTTCACCCCAACCTTTCCATTAAAATCTCCTAACATAATAATATTTTCATTTTCCTTACATTTCATCAACACCAGCCTTACCATGTCCCAAAACTGTTCTCGGATATAAGTGGGCTTAGACATATCTGGGGCGTACACCCCCAGCACAAACAACTTCTTTAAGCCCACTTTTGTCGTATCCACAGCAGCCTTGGGCTAACCCATTCATACTCTTTCACACATTGACCCATTCTTTCTGAAAAGATGACACCGACTCCCTGGCATGCCCGCTCGGTCTCGTCTACTCCAGACCAGTAAGCGGTATACATGCCATGTGCAGTGACATCTCTTCCCTTTCGTTTCGTCTCGTTCACACATAACACATCTATTCCTCTATCATTCATCATTTCGCATACTTCATCCATCTTATCATTCATTGCTCCACATACATTCAGCGTAGCCAGACGGGCCTCCGCAATCCACTTTTCGCCCCTCCGGGAGACAGGACGTGACGGTTGGCGAACCTCGTCGCCGGTTTTTCTCCCGGAGATTCTTCACACCCCTGCCCCAATAAAGGGGCGCCGGGAACTCGGGGCCATTTCTTTTTCTACTTGGCTCATGGTGCGAACTAAGGGGTGGTAGATTTTACGCCGCTACCATACGGCGAGAGGCCGAGTCTGTCGTTTCGGCTTTGTCGCTCGTTTAGCACCACCCGGGGGACACGTGTAGGGTGGGCCTAGGATTAGGTGGTCAAAGCCTACGGACGCGAGCGACTCATCCCCCATCATCTTCGAAATGTTTTGTTTTATTTTTCAGACATGCAGGTTTCCTTATGATGTTTTCCTTCACAGCTGAGCACCTTGTAAATCAGCAATTAAAATTGCAATTAACAATTTCATTGGTGTCTGGTAAAAGTGTCTAAGTGTAAAAATGAAGAGAGACACAAAAATTCATTTATAATTTTTTCATTTTTTTTTCAAAGCGATAAGGCTTGACACCTACTCCACAATGATCACTGAGCGGTATTTACTAAGTTTAGTTTCCGGAGAATGGTAAACCCGAGCGCCTCACGGCGCCCTTCTTTACTATCTACAGCGCTCCATGACACCGCGATGCACACCGTGAGAACCCCAGATGTAGTGTATATTTTTACACCACCATAACACAGTGTAAGTTTGGAAATGTTACAGTCAAAATACTGTTTTTTTTTAAGAAAATTATATTATTAATTATACTGTTAGACAGCAGGATGACCCATTAGGTTCAGATCTTTTAAGTTTGGGAATTTAAACCATTAATTCAAATTTGAAATCCAAACTGAATGTCTGGTACTAGGACAACCACGCACTGTGATCTGGAGCAGATGACGTTTTCAGTGATCTTGCTCATAATTTTCAAAATTTTAATAAATAATAGTTTAAAAAAAACGAAAAGAACACGCTTTTGTGGATAACCGAACTAAAAAGTAGAAAATAATTTTCAATAAGTTTAAAATAAGAAAATAATGATTAAAATAAAAAAAACTCATTTTGTTGTAAAAAAAAGCGTGGGGTGCTTTCTCAGATATTTTTACGATGATGCTGATTTTGCAAATATCCACAAAAATATTTACTAGAAATGACATCAAGCACCGCACGCTTTTACAAAATTTTAATAAAATTTCTCCATCAATAAAAACTGTTTGCGGATTCGCTTCACGTCGGACTTGCAACAATTAAAACCCCACGGTGTTCCGCCTTCACCGCACATTGTCGGGGCCACAGGAACACTTTCGCACACATCCACGGCTCCACAGGCGCTAGAGAGTACAACTTCCCTCTTTTCCTGTGGTAATGTGCTCCAGAATACAAAAGCATGCCTTCCTTCACGACCTCCAACATCACCTGCGCAATGAACGCCGAGAGTCCGATACGCGTAGGCCATGGGGCTAGGAAAACGAGTACTCGGAAGCACCAGCATTCCTGCCCCCAGCAGCAGATCTAGTCGATGGATGCGATGGATGGTAGCGGATTTTTAATGTTCCGCTGTAACTTAGATGCCCTCAAAATTTTTCAAGAACTTCGCATTGCGACGCATAAGTATGTACAAAGAATTGAACGTGTTCAAAAAAGACTCAATAGACACCTAATATTTTGTTTTAAGGCGTCAAGTCATAGTGAGTGCTACAAAGAGATACTCGATTTCTTTAGGATGAAACCACTGGCAGTTCGTAGATATCTTCTTGATTTCAAATTTCTTTATAAACTTTTCCATTGTAAAATTGATGACAGTGAGCTGTTGAGTAGATTTAATATTAATGTACCTCGGAAACCTCCTCGCAACCCATGTCCTCTCTGTAAGGCTGATAGCACTAGAACAAAACTTGGACAGAATTCTCCAATAACACGTATATCACGTGTATACAATGTATGTGTAAAAAACATAGCAACACTAGACATTGGTTGTGACGGTCTCACACTTTTTATGAAAAAATGTAATGATAGTTTGAAAAATTAATTAGTCACTAACTTTATGCTAAACTTAACTTTTATTTATGTTACAAAAATTATTATCTGTCTTTTTTTGTTACAACTACCATTAAAACAGTCAAATTATAAACACTGTTTTAGAAAGATGTGTTCTCCTAAAATTGGTAGTACATAGTCATTTGTAGATGTAAGGCATGTATTCATCATTACAGCCCTTCACAAGTCCACTGCTGAACATAGGCCTCCCCCAAAGAATGCCACAAAGCACGGTCCTGAGCCACCTGCATCCATCGACTTCCTGCATATCTTACCAGGTCGTCACTCCCTCTAGTGGGGGGGACGCCCTACACTTCGCCTGCCGGTACGAGGCTGCCACTCGAGAACCTTTCTTCCCCATCGGTTGTCGGTTCTTCGAGCTATATGGCCGGCCCATTGCCACTTCAGCTTACTAATCCGTTGGGCTATGTCGGTCACTCTAGTTCTACTGCGGATATCCTAATTTCTGAGTTTATCACGCAGAGAAACTCCGAGCATAGCCCTCTCCATAGCTCGCTGAGCGACCTTGAGCTTCCTCATCCGGCCAGCAATGAAAGACCACGTCTCAGTTCCGTATGTCATCACTGGCAACACGCACTGGGTGTACAGTCTCGTTTTCAAGTTTTGAGGTATACCTGACGAGAAGATGTGCCGTAATTTCCCGAACGCTGCCCAACCGAGTTGAATCCGTCGATTGATCGATGTATTAGAAGTAATTAAATATGTACAACTGTTGGAGATCCATACAAATAAATAAATAAAGGGTAATTAAGAATATAGAGAACTTAAATGGAAAGCTTTGTTCACACTTCTGATGAAGGATATTATTATGATGTATAGAGTTACATGAAAAGGCTTTTAAAATAGAATAGAATCACTTTTATTCAATATAGTACTACTACCACCGGTTAGGATAAAACCTTTGTCCTGGGAAGGACCAGCAAGAAACCCAGCGGGACTATTCTTTTAAATAAGCTTAATTTACAATATCTTACTTAATACACACTACAAATTGTACAGAGCTAATTTTGTAGTTGACAACAATAATTAATTCGTTTGCATGAATTAATTACCCAATGTGTCAAGGATGAGTTAGTAACGGAATACGACAAGTGCACCGTTCCACGCCAGAGCCAAGACTGCCCTAACTAGTGATGTGGCCCTCACTCATGAGTTGCCTCGTTTGAGGTTGAGGTTACTCGAATTTTAACATTAAAACACCTCTCTCACTCGTTCAAGACCTCGCTTATGACTGACGATATGAATCGTGTCCCGAGTGAGTGAGCGAACGACTCGATTAAAAATCGTTCAAGTAGGTATCGAGATTACCACGACAGCCGGCTGCGTAGTTATGTGGGACTCACTCCGAAAAAGTGCCTACCCAGTAAACACCACCAGTGAGACTGGCATTGGCTTGTGTGGCCTTTGTGCCGAATCGGAAGCGACCCCCTTTAGGGAAAAGGGGGAGCAGCATAAGCAGCATACCTAACGGCGGCCGTTCCGTCTATTTTATACAAGCAAAACGGGCGCCGCTGCACGTGCAATGGTGCAGGTGCCGTCAAGTATATTGTAAAGTTTTTTGTAAATCACACTAACAGACAAGAAATCAGACTAGAATGTATGATCTAAGAGCTTTGCCTGCCGTAAATTTGCGAATTCTAACAACAACAACAACAACAAATCTATGCTCTATCTAAAAACTTGAAAACAAACGTCTTTAGGAGTTAGGAGCTAGGAGTTAAAGATAAAATTTTTAAAGGCAAATTCAATTTAAATTTAAAGAAATGTATTGCTCAGTGACTCTATAATCCTTAATATAAGTGTAATAGTTAGGATAAGAGTAATAATGGAGAAAATTAACAGCTTTCTGTTATTCATATCCCTCTATGTATTATTGTGGGGTGTGGCCGGTCAGTATGAATGGCAAGTACGAGATGCTTTTGATGAAATTCGCGAAAAGATCGACAAAGTTAACGCTGATAATTGCTACATAACCCATTTTGATGATCTTTACCTTCCCGAAAACTCTGTGTCACACTATCCTGATGTGAAGGAAATAAACATAAATCCCATCTTTCCGAATCGAACGGCTATGTTGCATTTGCACAACATGGCTATGAACAGAGCTTTTTTCTGGAGTTATATTCTTCAGTCAAGGTTTATAAGACCAGCTATAAATGATACATATGATCCGGGTATGATGTACTATTTTCTGTCTTCAGTAGCTGACATTGCCGCAAACCCTTATATAAACGCAAGTTCTATTTATTTCTCGCCCAATACATCGTACACGTCTTCATACCGAGGGTTCTTTAACAAGACCCTGCCAAGATTTGCACCTAGAGCAATTAGGGCTGATGATTTTAATGATCCTGTGCATTTACAAAAGATCTCTACTTTAAACACATTCCATGTACTAGATCTTGGAGCATTTGACTCTGAGAGTTTATCACAGGATTATACTTCAGACTATTATCGTACAAATGAATGGTATTTCAAATGGTTGCCTGATAGAGTTGAAAAACGACATGACACAAAGACTACATATCAAGTTGAAATCAGGTATTCAAATAACACCAATGAGACATTTACGTTTCATGGACCACCTGGAAATGATGAGGTTAGACATTTATTAATTTTATTTTCTTATTATTATATATTTTTTTACTTAAATTATAAAAGGAATTAGATATCAACATTTGTTTTTCTTCAGTAATACAAAGTGTATAATTAGAACCTTTAGTTGTCAATATTAATTCCCAATACTACAGTTAATGGGCTTTGTTAATATGATTACATTTGTCTTTGTAGATTCAAGGCCCAGTAAATTGGACTCGTCCTTACTTTGATTGTGGAAGATTAAACAAATGGCTTGTGGGAGCAGTTTCTCCTGTAGCAGATATTTACCCTCGTCACACACAATTTAGACATATTGAATTTCCAACGTAAGTGTGTTATATAATTATAACCTCTTCTTTAGCACTTATAAGGGGCTGATTATAATTTTTTATTTCTTTGCTTCACCACAAACATTCATATATAAATAACTGTCACATCCATCACACAAAGGTGTAGGCAGAGACTACAGATTTCCATTTGGCACAATCCTAGCAAATCTCTCTCACTATACTTTTTTTATTATTATAGGATAGGGTGACAAATGAGCACACAGTCCAGCTGATGGTAAGTGGTTGCTGTGATCCATAGACATCTAAATCTATCCTCAATAAAGAATCAAAATGCAGATGCATTGTCATCTGTGAGGATTAAGATGAAATGCCTGAGAATGCCCCTTTTGCAGTAAAAAGGGTCTCCAGTTCTCTATACTCACCGTATGAAATACAGCAGTGTTAAGTTGGTATTATGTGAGATTGTGGTACTTCCCCAGTCAAGCTGACCCATTTGTGCTACAACTGTACTACTAATCTATACAAATAAATAAAATTGAAGTGTCTGTTTGTAATGTCAAAATTACAGTTTTTTACTAAATGTATATGAAAGTAAATACGGTACGTATAACTAAAATACAATTTTTTAAATTTTTGTCTGTCTGTTTGTTCCGGGTAATCTCCGAAACGGCTGGACCGATTTTGACGGGGCTTTCCCTGGCAGATAGCTGATTTCATAAGGAGTAACTTAGGCTACTTTTATTTTAGAAAAAGAATTAGGGTTCCGCACAAAAACATAAAAACCCTAACACGCGAGCAAAGTCACGGGGAACAGCTAGTATAGAATAGAATAGAATAGAATAAAATAAAATCATTTTTATTCAATATAGATAGTATACATAATACTTATTGAAAGTCATTTTTTACTTTTACCAGTGGTTCGCAAAAAAAACCTCTGTCCTGGGAAGAACCAGCAAGAAACCCAGTGGGACATATTTTTTTTAAAAGCACAATTTACTATATAATATTTTATACAATTGTTATGAAAACATTTAGAAACAGCAGTGATCACCTCATTCCCAGGGGGTTATTATTATTATTATTAGTTTTTATTGGATCGGGTGACAAACGAGCACACAGTCCACCCGATGGCAAGTGGTTACTGTGACCCATAGATATCTACATGTATCCTCAATACAGACTCAAGATGCAGATGCGTTGTCACCCGTGAGGACTAAGATGGAATGCCTCTTTGCCAGTAAAAAGGGTCGCCGGTTCTCTACACTCACCATAAGAAACAGCAGCGTTAAGCTGCTATTTTACACTGGTTTTCTGTGAGAGCGTGGTCCCTCCCCGGTCGAGCCAACCTATTCGTGCTACAACCACAATATAGCTGCAACATGGCTCTACCACGTAGATATTAGTCATGTACTCTTTAGTATTATAATAACCCTTACTAGACAATTTTTGCTTGGTGAGCCGCAAGCTCGTTTGCCCCTATTCTATAAAAAAAAAAAAAATTATAAATATATTATAAATTTTAACCTTTTGATAGAATGGTTTAAATTATTTATTATTCTTTTGGAGTCGAGTAACTGGTATAACTAACTTATGCTTGTTCTTGGTATTTACAGAATGTACATCACTATTTTTAGTAAAACTATTTTTGTTCTTGTGTACATACAATAAGTTCTCATAAATATATTGAAAGGCCAAAGTTAATATATATATATTTCTTTAAATTTTTCTCCAAGGGATCCCTTGAGACCTAGGTTATAAATTGCTCTTATGGCTCTCTGTTGCAAAACAAATATATAGCTGCAGCAGGTTCTACCACATAAGAAAATACATGCTTATCGGTGATGGGTATTCTTAATTTGGCCGGCCTTTAATATATTTCCAGATTGGTCGATAAACTTCAATCTTGGGTGTCTCTTGCCAACTTGCAGCATTCACTTTTGCAGAATAAATTTGCTTTGACACTCTTTCTTCATTTGTTCTTACTATCTATTTGAACTACCAAAGCATTCCTTTGTCAGATCAGAAGTCATGGATTTTTTATTTGGTTGAACAGAAAGTTACAGAATTGTTGTTATTATTTAACAGGTATACTGCTGCCGTTGTTATGGAAATGGACTTTGATAGAATAGATATAAATCAATGCAATGTGAGTTTGGGGAATGACAGGCCGAATCGATTTGCTGGCACTGCTAGGTGTAAAATGGAAACAACAGAGGTAAAAAAGTGAACAAAACCTAGATATGATTGCTTTCAATATATGTAAATAATTTAGCTTTCACAGTTGGGATGAGAAAGTTCAAGGTTAGAGCTGTCTTTTGATCATGATACCTTGCTCCCTCATGGATTATTATGAATTTTTCAAAATTTCTTATAAAGTATTAGTTTTGTATTGCTGTAAGTGTTGCTCTACTTTAAAAACTGAATTAGTTGCCTTGATAGGGGGTTGAGGAAGGGGAGTATGGAAGTTATATTAAAGGAGAAATGGATGTTACCTCCAAAGCAATAACCAAATCTAGTAATAGGGCATTAAGAAATGCCTTAAAATTCTTCTTGTGGTCGCCAGTAGTCTTAAGCTCATCAAAAAATCAAATCAAAAAAATCTAAAATTGTTTCATCTTCATCTTCACTTTGCTCGTGGTTGCACCTAGGCCTTACAGTTTTAAAGGGCGAACATAATGCTTTTAGGTATTATATACTAGTCTACTGGTTTGCCTTATGCAGATGAGAACCACTTATATAGAAAAAAAATCATTCATTCATACATTTATAACAGCCTAACAAAGTCCACTGCTGAATGTAGACCTTTTCCATAGATTGTGTCTTAGAGGATATATGGTTGGCAAAGTGATAAATATTGATTCCTTAACGACATGTGATTAACTTTTTTATTAATCAACTTCTACATGTCTCAAAAAAAGAAATTTCATTAAAACTAGATATTACCGTGTAGTGGCAGTGTAAGAATATCCGCTATCCCATATCATCCCATGGGTGTCGTAAGAGGCAACAGAGGGAAACAAATCAGATGAGCAGCAGCATCGTTCTAATCACAACTAAAAATAAAAAACTGCAGTTGACAACCAGCTTGCCAAAGCCTTTGATGCAATCTCTGGGGGATGTCTATCTTCAGTAGTAGACTAATTGGCTGTAATGGTAACGGTACATATTTTCACGTAAAAAAACGCTAAAGCGTCAATTAGAGCAAAATTGTACATTGATTAAGCCCAAAACAAACGACGAAATAGTGCAGAAGTATACAAAAGTCAACCTCTTTTTTAATGGTAAAAATTGATTTCTCTTTAGTCGTCGTCAGGGGTTACAACATATCTGTATTTTGATTCATAACCAAGGCTAGATGTAGGCGTTGGTCAGCCACTGCATGCCCTTACCATTTGTTGTGTTTGCAGTTTGACAACCTTACTCATAAAAAATAGTTCCACTATAATAGATGTGATATTTTGTTGTTCTAAAATAAAAAATGTGATTGAAGGAAAAAAATAATGACAGTAATTTTCTTCGTGTTCAATTCTAGTGTGAACCACTACATGGCTGGGGTTTTCGACGTGGTGGATATCAGTGTCGGTGTCGGCCCGGTTACAGACTACCCAGCATAGTGCGTCGACCGTATTTGGGCGAGATCATTGAGAGAGCTACCTCTGATCAATATTACAATAATTTTGATTGTAAAGAAATTGGATGTGAGTATATTGTTTTCTCCTTATTCTCTGTAATTACTGTTACGGCCTATTAAAGTGCACTGCTGAACATAGGTCATAGATTGCCTCTATTTGCTATAGTTGCTACGCTTCATAAGTGGGTTGGCAACCACAGCTTTTTAAGTCTTATGAGAAAGACGCTGATTCCCTTCTCCTAATTTGTTTCCCTCTATCGCCACTTACGACACCCACGGGATGATATGGGGGAGGGGTAGTGGATATTCTTACACCGCCACTACACGGTGTTTGTCACATTAATTTTACAAAAATAATAATTCACACCTTTGGTATTGCTTACCATCAATCCTATAAGGTGTCTTGTAGCATACTTATTACAGACTAGCTGTTCCCCGCGACTTCGCCCACGTGTTATTTGGGGTTTAAATTTTTTTTGCGCGGAACCCTAATTCTTTTTCTAAAATAAAAGTAGCCTAAGTTACTCCTTGTGACATCTGATTCACGATAAAATTCGTAAAAATAGTTTTATTCAATGTGTAGTGTTCGTGTAACCTAGTTTGAAGAGCACCTCCCGCCCTCCCTCAAATCGTGCACTATCCCCGTCAAGACTAATCCCACTACACTAGGCAAGACATTTCACTGATGTGGTTGTTTAAATATGATATAATATTATGACTTTGTACCTATCCAGGGGTACAAAAATTGCCCGTGCGTTGGGAAAAGGCGCATCCGTTCATACGTGCGTTGTACGCGGACCATTACTACGAGTACGTGAATGCAAGTAGCGGGCCGGACGCTTTGCACACCGAACGCGTCAATGTGTTCGAGGTGCTCAACTTCATCCGGGGAGTGCAGCCTCACAACTGCTCCAAGTGAGTGTGACTAGTGGTTTCGCCACATGTAATTTTTTTTGCGATTCTATAATTGAACAGTTACAACATTAAAGTAACAATGTAAGTGGCTACAGTACCCCGTGACCATATTTCTTTTTTATAATTTTTTTTCCAAAAACTTGAACATTTAAAAATTAATTTTAATTTAAAAAAAATTAATTTGTAAATTGCATGTGGATTTATTACCTCTAACTTACACAAGCATTGGTGAAGGGGGGTCTTTCACAATCCTCTTATTCTCCGGATAATGCAGAGGTAATAAAACCAAATACAATTCACAAATTATTTTTTTTAATGTTCAAGTTTTTTGAAAAAAAGTTATTTATTTACGTTTGAATACTGACTCTGATAACGCACTTACGGGAACCACAGGGTTTTTGTTACATGTTGTATAATAATATGGTATATGTTAAGAGAAAACTTTGTACCACCTAAAGGTTATATGGAGAAGCAGTGCAGAAAGTGAAAATTTATATGTAATATGTGTTGAAAGAGAAATACAGCTTTCTTAATATAACAAACATTAATGAATTATGGTCCATTTTCAACCACTTAGTGACCTATCACTTCTTTTGCAATTTCCCATCTTTGCTAAATGTGATATGAGGAGTGGGCTGCTCTTTGGACTCTGCCTACCCACTGGGGCATTACAGGCATGAAATTATATATGTGTTATTATTATTCTAGTGTTTTGTGGTTTACATTTTCATTTATGTTTGTATGATTTTCTAAAAGGCTTCAATAAGTCAATTTATAAGCTATAATTGAACTCCATTTATGTGAATTGTTTTGGTAACTAAAATTTAGTTTTATATGTTATTTCAGCATGCCATAACTTTAACGAACGTATCTGGAGTTCTGGTGTATATACATATATAAAAAAATAATTTTAATTTGATTGAGAAAAGGAGGCCGTTTTATATTATAGTATAACTTTAGGTTGGCACTTGTCCATGAAGAAAGCCCTGCTTAGTCTTAAAGGTTGAAACCTAAACACGATAACTGTGTTCGTTGTAGGTACAAACCAACAGACTTGTTCCTCAATGGCGATATAGCATATGGTGCAGAGGCGCAGTTTGAAAACCAAGCGAAGATGGCCGTCCGACTCGCAAACTTCATTAGCGCGTTCTTACAGGTATGCGTTTCCGCGGAAAATGAAAATATGTATTTATTTTAATTTTATTCAAAGTATGAAAAGTCCACTTTTATAATATTAATAAATAATTAAAGAGTCGACTGTGTAGTGGTAGTGGAAGAATTATCCACTACACATTGTACGAGCAGATAGAGAGAAATGAAACGAGAGATCTATGTTATTGGCAACTTAAAACAACTTGAAATGGAACAACTACAAGCTATTGTGGAAGCAGCAGTATTTGTTTCAAAATCTAGTTTCTTTTTTAAGTCAATATGGCATAAGCCACAATTTTTTTACGTGGTAGAGCCATGCTGCAGCTATATTAATAGTATAGTTGTTGTACAAATGGATCGGCTCGACCGGGGAAGGACCACGCTCTCACAGAATACCAGCTTAAAACAGCAGCTTAATGCTACTGTGTTTCGTAGAATAAAATAGAATAGAATAATTTTTTATTCAATATACATTACATGTGTAATTCTTATTGAAAGTCATTTTTTACTTTACCAATGGTTCGAAAAAACCCTCTGTTCTGGGAAGAACCAGCAAGAAACCCAGCGGGACTTTTTTTAAATAAATTTTACAATGTTAATGATTACAAACTATTTACAAAATTTATCATTACAAACTGCTTGGAAGCGACCACCTCATTCCCAGGGGTGTATCAACCATGTATTCATTTATACTATAATAACCCTTTTCATACAGTTTCATGTGTATGGTGAGTGTAGAGAACCGGAGACCCTTTTTACGGGAAAAGTGGCATTCCATCTTAGTCCTCACGGGCATCTGCATTTTAATTCACAAACAAAGATAGATGTAGATGTCTATGGGCCACAGCAACCACTTACCATCAGGTGGACTGTGTTATTATTATTACATAAACACACTAGCAGCTACAAAGCAAATCTTAATTTTTAGAGATTTTATCCAATCTGTTCTTGAAGGCATTCAATGTTGGAGCATTAATCACATTTTGTGGTAGCTTATTCCAGTTGTTGACAACACAATTTGTGATAAAATTCTTCATAGTGTTACGAGCTTGGGGTTCGAGACAATTAAAAACTGCCGATTGAATTACCAAAATTGACACTTTAATTACACAACACTAATTACAATCTAAAATCACACTAATAATAAAACACAGTTCGCCGTTATTTCGCTTCGAAGTATTCTGTTGTATCGCCAATTCAATATTGCCCCGGTCGTGGTCTATACCGGCCTTATATAGGGCCTCAGATAGTTTCCAGAACCTTCTACTGTAGCGACATCTAGAATGTTTGAGTACATATCGGTCCCGAAATTTCTGGAAGGATCTCAACTCTCCTAGTTCTGCTACTCGACACAAGAGGGCGCTAGTGTAACTAGTGTTGCCATGTACAAAACATTAATAGTGGCGCGCAACACTTTCTTTTACTCGACACTAGAGGGCGCTAGTGTAACTAGTGTTGCCATGTACAAGACATTAATAGTGGCGCGCAACACTGCCCCCTCCTAAGACATGCTCGTCCCGAGCATTATTGGCCCCATAATAATGCGCCAGTCGATCCACATGGACAATCTTAGGAGTACCTTTGGCACCTTCCTGTATCCGGTAGGTTACGTCATTGATCCTTGTCACAATCCGGTACGGTCCGTCCCATTTAGCTTGAAGCTTAGGAGATTTCCCTTTGCTGCTAACTGGATTGTGTAACCACACTAGTGAACCTTCATCAAACCCCTTGTTGTTCATTTTGCGGGGTCATACCGTGTTTTCATCTTCTCAGACGTTTGCTGGCCCGTCTGTTTGACGTGCTCATAAATGTCATTCATTTTGTTCCGCAAGTCATTTGCATAATCGGTTATACTGCGTGGGGCATCAGGTGGTATTCCGGTGATCAGGTCTGCAGGCAGCCGTAATTCTCTCCCAAAGTTTGCGAAAGCTGGCGTCACTGATGTACTTTCGTGAACAGCGCTTCGATATGACAACAAAAACGGTTGTATGTGCCTGTCCCAGTCTCGTTGCCGTTTTTCCACAACTTTTGCCAGGTACCTTTCCAATGTCTGATTAAATCGTTCTACCATTCCATCAAATTGTGGGTGGTAAGAAGTTGTTCGTGTTTTCTGAGTACCCATAACTCGGCAAGTTTCCTGCAATATTTGAGACTCAAAATTCCTTCCTTGATCGCTGTGAATCTCTAAAGGTACTCCAAAACGACAGAAGATTTCATGAACTAGTTTATCTGCAACTGTTGAAGCTTCTTGATCTGCCTTCTAGTTCTGCTACTCGACACTGGAGGGCGCTAGTGTAACTAGTGTTGCCATGTACAAAACATTAATAGTGGCGCGCAACACTTTCTTTTACTCGACACTAGAGGGCGCTAGTGTTTCTAGTGTTGCTATGTACAAGACATTAATAGTGGCGCGCAACAATAGGATTCCACTTAGAAGCCCTATGGCTGTTTGAGTTGATGTCCTCTCAGACGTTTGTTGCTATTCAGTAAAAAAAATTGCAGAGTAGGTACATTGCAATATCCTGTCAGTATTTTTGTGTTTCAATCACCTCTCTATCTACAGCACTCTGTTATTAGGTTAAGCTTTTTCATTTGTTGCTCATACATCATGTTTCACAGTGGTTTTATCATTTTGGTAGCCTTCCTTTGAAAATTTTCCAGTAGTATTTTATCTTTATGAAAATACGGATCCCATATCACAAATGCAAACTCCAGCAAAGGTTTTAAGTATGTTTGTTGATAGATATTGATAAATATTTTAGGAGTGAGACAAATAAAGCTTTTTCGAATCATATACATCATAGAGTTATTACATATTAACATTGCAGGTATCGGATCCATATGAAATCTTCAGTGGTACCAGGGTTGCTGACAAACCCCTCACTGAAGATCAGATGATTGGAGAAACGCTTGCGATCATACTCGGTGACTCCAAGATTTGGTCTGCAGGTGTGTTGTGTTTAATGTTTTATTAAATTTCTTCAAAATATGAGGTGTAAGGTATATAAAAATATTTTTTACATTTATTATCTGTCGACAGTTGTTAAATTTAACATTTATATACACATGCTACAAGCCCTTAAGACTTTATCTATAACTATTTTAAAACAGTCATTTTCCAACAAGGAGAAATGAAATAAGTAAACAATAATAATTAGCAACAAAAGTACAAATATAAAATATTGTACTACATGACACAATGCACTACAAAGAGACTGGTATATTTACTAGTAATTATGATATCAACAATGTTAGGGAATACGCCTGCAAGCTAGTCAATTTTCCTTAGAACTTTACAGCGATGGGTCGTTGACGGTTTTTCCGTTAACGTTGAGTTATGTTTGTCAACTAGTTGAATTAGTCAACGAGTTAACATACTACTAATGTCAACTTGTAACGTAAACCGTTAATTCGTTGGACGGTTTTAATTCAACGCTACGACGCTCAATTTTAAAAACAATTTGATTCAATGTATGTATCGGAAAACGTTTGATTAATGGTTCTACTTAGATGACCTTCCCTTTATACTTTTTCTTCAGGATCAGGACTGAATGAATACAATTAGCTATAAACTATATTCTACTCAGGCGTATTTAAAATATCATCTGATTCTATGTGCGCAAATCAATTATTTACAATGTTTTTTATAGTTTTTTTTTAAATATTTTTTGGCTTGTTTTTAATTTTTTCGAAATGCAGTCACAATTCACTGTTACGCCGGTACGTCCCGACATTTTCAATTTTGTACCTTGAGTAGTTCTATTTTATTCAAATATACGCAATTGCAATTATATTAACACAAATTTACACTGTTACTATAAACATTAACTAAAAAGTCTAAACTCTAAACATTTACGCGTAACTTGTCACAAACTGTCAATCAAAAATGAAAGAAAGCAAACTTCATATCGTTCGTAAACGTAAACAAACTAGAATTAACCTATTTCTCTCGGACGGCACGAGCGGGGCGCGCCATTCCACTAATATCGTTATAAATACTATTCTTAAAATAAATATTCGAAAATAAACTCTTTTGTAGGTTCCTTAGAGTTCAAATTGTATGACATGACCATCGCTCGCAATCTATGACGTTATTTTCTACGTAAGTTATTTAATTTGCTCAGTTCGTTGCGTTAACGAGACGCACGAGTTAAATTCGTAAACGTCGTTGACGAATTCAACTAGTTGATTCATAAACGGTTAACGTTAATACGTTGACAGGAGATTCAACGGTTGATTCAACTAGGTCGTTGATTCAAGGCTCATTGCTAGAACTTTATACAAGAATATACCTATCAAGTCTCTGCATTTGTCAAGACGCATTACTTTAAAATGATTAAGACGACAGTGTTCTTACTTTACTTACCTTAAAAAATTACAGCCGATAAAGTACCACTGCTGGGTACAGGCCTCGCCTCATTTCTGAGAGCGTTTTAGGGCAAGGAAATGTCCACCGCGCTACCCCAATGTGTGTTGGCGAACTGCAAGTTTCCTCACGATATTTTCCTTCACCGCCAAGCACGTGGTAAATCAGCACTTAAAATTGCAATTAACAATTTCATTGGTGCCGGCGGGGATCGAACCTAGATTGCTTGTGTACTGTAAAACTTACAGTGAGCACTAACCATCTGAGCACCACGGCTCTTTACTTACCTTATGTCTTATATATTACCGGTTAGTTAACTGCTGAGTGTTTAGAAATAAAAATAGATTTTTAAATTATATATAGATTAAATTTTTTAAAAATTACCACTAATTGCAAAATATTCTATTTTGGGAAGAACAACCTCAATAGCTCAGGACAATTTTTCTTATATACCAATAGAGTAATAGTATATAAAAGAAAATATTATGGTTATAGTAGAGCAAGATCCTAGGTCCACTAGACGTCACTTATTTTCTGACGAACGAAATGTGTATCATTGAACAGTGTTAGTATGTATCATGATCGCATGCCTATCTGCTAGCTTGGCTAGAGGGCCATTTTCCAGGTATCAGGTAATCAAAGTACGTAAAAACATTACTCACCTCACGTTGATTCTCCCAGCTTATTTTTACGTAAATAATATCGTTAAAATTCAGTCATCAATACTCCAAGGTACTTTCCGTCGGCAGTATCGCTTTTCAGACGCTTTAAAACTGTCAAAAAAATTATTCAATTTGACTTACATTCTCTAGCTCCATTTTTATATAATATGTTAGCCAGACAACAATTTTAAAACCTTTTACAAGAAGGCAGACCGATCCAAGAGATCAATCATCCCCTAGATATTAATACATGTCTCCACTCACGCTCATGCGCGCGAATAATGCCCTCGTGTTCATGCCAACAGAGGCATTAAAATTGGGTCGGTCTAGGGGATGGTTGACCCTGTGCGTGCGCTGCTGTGTTCTCATCTGAAGGATATAGATACAGGCCGTGAGGCATACCACATTAGTCCACAAAGGTAACAACGCCTCTGTTGCCTTCTTTCTTCGAAGTAGGCTGTAGGTGTCCAAGGACTGCAGTAGCCACTTGCCATTGTGTGGGTTCATTTGTTACTTTAATTATAATAAAAAACTAGCGACCCGCACCAACCTCGCCTGGATATTGGATATACTATTGATGTGGCGTTATGAATGACAGAGTGAGAAATTGTGTGATAAGAGAAGAGTGTGGTTTGCAAGATAACATTGTGACCAGGATTAAGAACGGAATGCTTCGGTGGTTTCGTCATGTAGAAAGAATGAATGAGGAAAGAGTGACAAAGTAAATTTATGTTGCAGAGGTGAACGTTAGAGTCGGGAAGGGATACCCCAGGCGAAAGTTTATCGACCAAATTGGCGATATATTGAAAATGGGCCAAATTAAGAGTACCCTTAACCGACAAGTGTGTATGTGTAGAGGTATTTGGATGTGAAGGAGGCGAGAGAGGTTTGTCAGGATAGTGCCAAATGGAAGACCATAGTCTCTGCCTACCCCTCTGGGCGACAGGTGTGTGTTTATCTTTATGTTGTTATTTAGATTTAAGATAATCGAAAACACAATTTTATTTTAAAGGTACATTCTGGGACAGAAACAAGTTCACAAATCGTACTTACTTTGCGCCGTATGCCTATAAAACCGAGTTAAATACAAGGAAGTACAAATTGGAGGATCTGGCAAGATTAAATAAGACTGGTGAGTTAATTTAATAATTTCGTTAAGACAACTCTTTATGAGGGCTAATAATTTACTCACCAGATGTCGCTTGTGGCTCGTTTGTTGCCAATGTTGAAATTAATTGGGTGATTGAAAGAAGTTTTTATTTTCCTACTTATTCTTTCCCAATCTTTTAGAGGAGGTATACACGAACAAGCCGTTGTTCCAATTCTTGAAACAGCGCTGGTCCACCAACTTCGACGGCCTTGAGAAATTCTTCCTCAAGATGAAGCTACGTGACGATGAATTGGGCAAGCATCTACGCCAATACGAGAAGTATCCGACATTCTACCGAGCGGCCAACATAAAGGACGGCCACTGGACTAGGCCGTATTACGATTGCGATGGACATGTGAAGCAGTGGGCCATCACATACGCGTCACCGTTCTTTGGATGGGACAGTGTTAAAGAAAAGTTGGAGTTCAAGTAAGTCTATTTGGCCTATTATTTTATGTACGAAAGCCGCATCTATGATACAAGAGTAAATAATTCCTACTGTGGGGGAACATATTTTTTAAAGAAAAGAAAAATTAACCAAGTCTGTACAGATATTCGGTTATTTTTTTTATAGAATAGGAGTGAAAAACGAACCAACAGTCCACCTGATGGTAAGTGAATGCTTCGATCCAAAGACGTCTACATCTATCCCCAATTAAAAATCAAAATGCAGAATCATTGTCACCCCTGAGGACTAAGAATGAATGTCTTGTTTCCAGTAAAAAGGGTCTCCAGTTCTGGTATTGTAAGGGAAGGGATGGCAGGTAAAATTTATAATGGATGCATATTAGTTTACAAGTAGTTTACGACGGGCTGTTTTCCGCAACTCCACGTCTATGCGCGTATTTTGCGTGTGGTGGATGCATATTATAATCCGTCTATCTTTCTGTCTGTGTCCGTGTGTACTAAGAAAGCAGACATTATTGTCAACCACTTTATTTGTGGCATTTGCAAGCGAAATCATATCTGCCTGAAACAAGTAATAAAATTCTGTACTATGCGTCATTCTTGTTTCATTACGTTGAAGCTACATTGAAAAAAATGTTATTTAAAAATTTTAATTAGTAGTCCTAATGATTAACCAGTTCGTGTTGCCAGTGATAACCTATGGAACTGAGACGTGGTCCTTCACTGCTGGCCGGATGAGGAAGCTCAAGGTCGCTCAGCGAGCTATGGAGAGGGCTGTGCTCGGAGTTTCTCTGCGTGATAAACTTAGAAATGAGGATATCCGCAGTAGAACCAGAGTGTCCGACATAGCCCAACGGATTAGTAAGCTGAAGTGTCAATGGGCTGGTCATATAGCTCGAAGAACCGACAACCGATGGGGAAAAAAGGTTCTCGAGTGGCGGTCTCGTACCGGCGGACGAAGTGTAGGGCGTCCCCCCACTAGATGGAGTGACGACCTGGTAAGATATGCAGGAAGTCGAAAGATGCAGGTGGCTCAGGACCGTGCTTTGTGGCATTCCTTGGGCGAGGCCTATGTTCAGCAGTGGACTTGCGCAGGGCTGTAATGATGATGATGATTATATAGCAAGACGTATTCTGCCTCTGTAGCCTTTGTATATTAGTATACAGAGAAGTCTTTGCTTTTACTTTTGAAGTTTGTCTTTGTAAGTAATAGCCAAATAGTCAAATGCTACTCAATTTTAAGATGTCGTTGTCTCGTGGTGTCACAGTCACGTTGACTTAAAGTGAGAGAGACAGCACGAGACCTAGCGGCAGCAAAATTGAGCATTTGGGTATATAAGTACGAGGGTAGATTGAAAAGTACTCGGCCTAACCAAGAAAATAAACAAATACTAAATCAGTTATATTTTTATTTTTCTACATAATCACCATCAAGTTCAATACACTTTTGCCACCTCCCCTTCCAAGCATTTAGACCGTTGAAAAAAAATGATTCTTCCTTAGAGTCAAAATATGCGTCTACAGCTGCTTTGACCTCGTCGTTTGTCGAAAATCTTTGACCTCCCAAGTGCTTTTTTAGGTTAGGGAACAGAAAGAAGTCTGATGGTGCCAGATCAGGTGAATACAGCGGATGCGGTAACAGTTCAAAGCCACAGTTGTGAATTTCAGCCATTGACTGTACTGACGTGTGAACACGGGCGTTATCTTGATGAAACAGGACTTTTCTTCTGAGCATTCCTCGACGTTTTTCTTTTATTTCCTCTCGTAAACGACGTAGTAAGGTGCAGTAGTAATCAGAGTTTATATTCTGACCCCTTTCAAGATAATCAATCATAATCACACCTTTCGAGTCCCAGAATACTGAAGCCATCACCTTATTTGCCGACAAAATCGACTTAGCCTTTTTAGGGGGTGGTGAACCAGGTCTTCTCCACTGTTTTGATTGTTGTTTTGTTTCCGGTGTACAGTAATGAACCCATGTTTCGTCCATAGTAACAAAACGATTCAAAAAATCATCTGCATCGGCTTCAAATAACTCCAAACAGTCGCGTAAAATAGTCAATCGCGTCCTTTTTTGTTCAACTGAAAGCAGTCGCGGAACCCACCTCGCAGACACCTTGTGGAAACCCAACTCGTTGACAATGATGTTTTGAGCTCGTTCATAAGAGATGCCTATAATCTCGGCTATCTCTCTAATTTTTAATCTGCGGTCTCCCATTATTAAATCAAGTACTTTTTTAATATTTTCGTCAGTAGTTGACGTCGAAGGCCTTCCAGAGCGGGGTTCATCTTTCACACTCTCTCTACCACGCTTAAATTCTGCTATCCATTTTTTGACGGATGAATATGACAAAGTACAATCGCCTAATGTACTGACCATGTCATCATGGATGGCTTTTGATGATAGCCCCTTCTTATGGAGGTACTTAATGACGGCACGCTGCTCGATTTGCTCCATTCGCCGAAATTATGTCCGATTACTTTGTTAATAAATTTATAAAATCACAACTAATTATTGCACACGTTTCGAACTTCACACAATGAACTAGTCTGAACTGAACTAAATAATGTGGGTAGATTTGATTTTTAGAATTGAATGGATCTGTGTTAGGCCGAGTACTTTTCAATCCACCCTCGTATATCTATGAGCTACAGTAACCACTTATTATCAGGTTATTTAAATTGTCTCGTTTATTTCAGGGGTGTGGTAGCAGTTACGATGTCTCTAATGGCCCTGGACATCAACCAGTGTCCCGACAAGTACTATGTGCCTAATGCGTTTAAAGGGACCGATAAGTGCGACAGAGGTTCCTCTTACGTGAGTAATTTTTTATTATTTCAGCATAATATATAGTAACTAGTAAGCAAGCAAGAGGATTATTTTAAAGGTGCAACACAAGATAAAGAAAGATTGCACGTTCGATCTTAGAAAAGACTAGTTTATCTAATTTTACTGGACATTTTTTTTATTTATGGAAGAGGAGGCGAACAAGCATACGGCTCACCTGATTATAAGTGATCACCATCGCCCGTGAACATCTGCAACACCAGGCGAATTGCAGGTGTGTTGTCGGATTTTTGTACAAGAGTAGGCACTTTTCTTGAAGGTTCCTAAGTTGTATTGGTCCAGAAAAACCGCTGGTGACAGGATGGAATTTGGCGGCTGGAATGAATCCGAACAATTCCTCTAAGCACTCCCCGTGGTACATACGGTAAAAGATGCACAGAAACGCAACGTCTTTTCGCATGGCCAGTGGATCAAGCCGATTGGAAAAAACTGGGTCGTTGATAATTCGGGCTGCTCTCTATTAAATACGGTCAAGTTGAACAAGCTGATACAAAGGTGCCCCGGCGTAGAGACTAGAACTGAATTCCATATGAGGCTGAACCTGTGCCTTGTGGGCTGGCCTGAAATACTGTCTCGATGTACTGAGCACACCAAGCTATTTCGATGCCAGTTTAACCTATCCTTCTAAGTAACTGCAGAACTGCATATCTCTAGAAATGTGCCAAGGATTCCGATGCAGGTTTAAACAGCAAGAAGAGTGCCCTGAAATTGAAGAGAACGACAAAGTGGTTCTTTATTACAGACATGTGTTTCTCCCTTTGTAAAAATTTGTCTTAACGTCACGCTTGGCAGATGGATCGACGATTACATTACGACTTTTGACGCTACTACCTGTCGCTGGTCTGGAAGTCATCAGATTTTTTCTGTCATTTCACCATCGATTTAAGGATACTTCTTCTTTTAAATTATGGCTTGTCTTGATAGAATTTTGCCAGTGTCAAGTTAGTCATGGGAGTGACAAGTAGATATTTATTATATTAAGAGTTCTCAATTTTACGAGTGGGTTCACAATGTACAACAAAAGACGTCACATTTTTAAATACCATCACCAAAATTGATTAGTAATTTTACGGTTTAATATTATTAGTACGAATAAGATCACACAAAATATTTACAAAAGGAGTATACACTAAGAACAACAAATACTGGAAATTTATAGGACGCGGGACGTAATTGGGCAGGATATCATAGAGAGAGTGAGAAAGATTAGGACACTCAAAGTGTTTTTTGTTTATTATGTTGATGATTTACGGATCCTTCGTCTAGTCCACATTCACAAATTGAGCTATTCCTGATCCTTAGTATAGCCAAGTGTACCGGAGTACAAGCATGTCCAAAGCGAAAGCGAAAAACAGTAGAGGTGATTGTTTTATTGAAGTTGCGATATTGAAAGAACCAAAGTTTTGATGGGATATTAATTTGAACTTTGGAATAGTGTTTACATTTTAAAAGTTTAGACTGATGCCAGTGATTTAAAGACACTATTTTTATTATAATAATGCTTATATTCAAAGACTTCTATGTACACTACTAGATGGGCTCTGCGTCCCTAATATATTGCGCACTAAGTTATGGACAATTCTCCGTAACTCCTTTAGTCGACTGCAAGCGAGCGAGAAGACTAGTTCTTTGTTTTGTAATCCGCGAACTTTGTTTTTGACACTCTAATACTGATTTTGTTTCATGTTACTTGACTCCACCGAGTGAGTAATTCATTCTTGGGGCGATGTATACGCTTTTACAACTAAATCCCAGAAAGTATACAAAATTTGACCTTCACAAAGTCTTTATTAAACAAAGTTTGTATAAAAAGGGTTATTATAATATTAAGGAATTTATGGATGATAATAATCCCTAGGAATGAGGTGATCACTACCAAGCTATTTCTAATATTTTTGTGTGGTTACTTTTGTAACATACATGATTGTAAGCTGTTATTTTAAAAAAAAGTCTCGCTGGGTTTCTTGCTGGTTCTTCCCAGGACAGAGGTATTGTTTAGTTGTAATTAAACAAAAGAGTGACTTCCAATAAGTATTATTTATAATCTATATTGAATAAAAAAGTTTCTGTTTCTGTGACAAAGAAAACGCAGTCATTATTTATGCGCGCACTTCGTCAACGTGATTTTAATTTTATTTTCTAATAAGTTCCTTATTTCGCGTTTTGCCTAATAACAGTAACTGTCGAATGAAATTAAATGAAAATACAACATATGATCCCTAGCCGTTACATAGCCTTTGTTCTGAATTGTCAGTCTAGTCTTTACTTATATTAGTATCTATCTTTCAACAGTGTGTACCTATCCTGGGTCGAGGATTCGAAGCTGGTGGGTACAAATGTGAATGCCTCCAAGGATACGAGTACCCATTTGAGGACCTCACAACTTACTACGACGGACAGATTGTCGAGGCGGAGTTTCAAAACATTATAAACAACAAGGAAACACGCATAGACATGTTCAAATGTAGACTGGCCGGGGCTGCAGCTATACAAAGCAGTTTCATAATAATTGCAGCTGTCGTGTTTCTACTTTTCAAACTGAGATAATACTAGTGTTGCCAGTATTATACGTATATTTGAGTTTTTGTCTCTGGTAACATATAAGACTGTTCACAATGTTCAAAACTTCTTTATGTCATTCTGTGAATAGAATGATAAAAAAAGTAATCTAACTACAAGCAATAATTGTTTAAATCCTGTTAAGATGTAAAAAAATGTAAGGCTCATTTCACTATACGAAGTTATTTTTTATACTTATGAATTCCATTTTTTATATATTTTTTGTAATTTTCTACCAAAGTAGATTAAGGGAATGTTATCATTTTTAAATTCTGATTCCATTCATCATTAAATATTATTAATTAATTTAATTAAATATATATCTTAAATCCGTTGGTCATACGGTATACCTAAATTGATAAACACATCATAGTATATACAACGACATGCTTAAACGCAAAATTTTGCATTAAAGTTGGAAGTAACCATATTATTATTTAAAAAAAATTACAAAACTTCAGACAAGTTAAATGTCCCAAATTCCAAGGGAAAATGTTTGTCCACAGTGACGGGAAAAAAGTGAGATTGGAGCAACTAGTAGGTACCCAATAGGTTTTCTTACAATTACTTTCTGCATTCGGGTTGCGACCGAAAAGAGCTCTTAAAAAGTTATTAAAATACGGTGTGGTTTGTCTAAATCCGGACGCTTAGTGTCCCGTGCTCATGCTTTAATGTTCAAAAGCTGGACGTCTGGCAACCTTAATTAACCTTAATTTTAACATACTCTAGGGATTTTATGAATTAATTAATTTTCATATTATAATGTACAGATGTAGATATGAAGGGTAGATGTAAGAAGGACATAAATGAGGGCATCCACGACTTTTTCTGCCACCAGGGTGGAACCACTTAACAGTGAGATATAATATTTGAGAGATTTCATAGCGGGGAAGTTAAAAATGTAAAGGTTAATGTTTCTTTCTGTACTATTAGTTATATTTTATATTAATTAGATTAAAAATAAATAAACCGAACAACAGATATTCATAAAAATAGAAAAATTAAAAAAAGTTACAAATGTGCAAAAAAACCACTGAGGCATTGTTTTGTGTATTAATATAATACTCCAAAAACTGATAAACTTTTATTAACTAACCTCTCAATAAATAACCTCTCAAAGTAACTAAAAACTTTACCTCAGTGTCAACTAGCGACATCTGGTGAGCAGAAAATTATAAGCCCTCATTGCAATAAATTAGCGTTGATGTCTCTGTGTTGGTATAGGACAGAAGATTAACATTTGCCTTTTTATGGCGCTATTTTGAAAATTTCAAATATTATTATGTATGTAGTAAAAAAAAAAAACTATCAAGGACTTGTGTAATCCGCCATCACGTATTGCGGTAGCGCTTTTTTATCACAGTAATGTTCAAATACTCAAACGCAGTTCAATTTTAAGACGCCGTTAACTCTCGTGCTGTCTCTATCACTTTAAGTCAAAGTGACCGTGACACCACGAAACTTAACGACATCTTAAAATTGAGTAGCGCTTGAGTATTTGCCCATAAGTAAAGAAGCATGTGCCCAATAGTATTGCTTTAAGTACTTATGCTAATTTTTATCAATTAAGTGTTAATTTACGATACTTTTAGCAACTATTCTAGTCGTTACTGTCTTATTTTTTTGCTTCCTTTTGACATGGTTGACATATGCCGGGGTTTCTATATTAGAAACGCTTCGTTTTCTCTACGAGTCGTTTTACAGTAATTGAAGTGCGTAAAAACCTCTTTTTTCAAATACCAGTTCAAATATTTATGAACCGTTTAAAGTTTATTCATTTTATGCTATCCTAAGTTGCTGAATTAATAATTGGTAATATAAACTATTTTATGCGCCTCGTATGGAATAAAACGGATCGTTACGGAGAACGAAACGTTAATACTATGTTCAGACTTAAATGTTACACCAGTTCAGTCATTTGTTTACTCGCTAGCATTTTTAGTGTTAATTATAAAATAATGTTGCAGTTTAAGCGTCACACAGATGTGGTTCTTCTATACCTTTTAATATATTAGAATAAACAAGCTAATAGTTCAGCTTATGGTAAGTAGCCATTGTATTTCAGTGATACTAGTATGCGACTTTAAAAAAAATAAAGCTCCATTCTCGTTATGACCCTTGAGGACTGAGACGGAATGCCTCGCTTAATATACACTAGCTCTCGTAGCGGCTTAGGTTACAAGGCTTAGTCCAACGATTTAGTATGTACTTACCTCTACCCTTCATAAATATACATAACATAAATTAGCCCTTGTTACAGTTATGTTGTTGTCAGTCATAAGAATGAACCGTCTAGACACTTAATAAAATAATCCTCACAACAAAACAATAACACATTGTTTGTCGCACTTATATATTATTCATTATTTACGAGTTTATTTTTGTTATAATAAGATTTAGGTTTCTCACATTACATTTTGTAACATCTTATTGCTTTTGTTTTAATGGTTATTATGCTATATCAAGATTATTTTCACTCTTTATATATATCATTGTATAAAAGAGTCAAAATATTTTAAACTAAGTTATTTTGTAAACTGACTATAGAGGGTAGTAATCAAAACGCTTTTGGTATTTCCTTTAGTAGTCTTCATGGGCGTAGCTAGCTAGGAAGGGGTGGGGGGGGGGGGGGGGAACACGGCCCTATACCTCGACGCCTCTCCTCGCTAACTTGGTGCTTCCAACGGCAAATATATTCCGGCATTCTCTAGCAATGGTTCAACAGTGTGTCTGAAACTCTGGACTCACCCCGGAAAAAGTTAGACACGCCCATGGTAGTAATGTGCAACATAAATGAGTTTAGAGAATGTCTTTTTGCTATTAAATTGTAGTAGAAAACAGGCTCGAATCTTTCTATTATATTCCGTTCATTTTTATATTGTTTTAATAAAGCATACTAGAATCTCATTGTGTAATTGACACTAGTCTATAAGAATACAAACAATTTGTATCTTATATTAAATGTGAATAGTTTTGTATCTTAGTGTCGATTGTCCAAGAATACTTTTGTTTTTTAAATAAGTTTAATGCCTGCTGTAAATCAGCCTATGTATAAAGCTTTTTGATAATATATTTATGTTGTCAAAGTTTAAGAACTACAAAAACATCGTTTATAGTTATTGACTTTGCTTTGACGGCTTACATAATTAAGCCGAACGTCCACAGCGATCTAAACTATGTGAAAACTAAGTTAATGTAACCTAGAAAATCGTTGCACGTCCACCGAAAAATAAGCTAAAACAAAACTAAGCGATAGACACCAGAGGGGTAAGGTAAGGGGGTGAGAGGCGGTTAGCTTTTCGGATCGGCCTACACAACTAAGTTAATTTAACTTAGTTTGGCTATTTTACCTAGCATAGCTGGCATAGTTTGCGGTGGACGCACATGTACATGTAACTGGCTCAGCTATGCGAGCTAAGATAAACTAAGTTAGTTTAGTTTGCAGTGGACGTTCGGCTTTAAAGTTGTAATAACAAATATTTTTAAGGTAACACTTCTACAAGTTACCAATGTCTGAAAGCAATTGATAACACTCTTAAATATCTTAAGTTTTAGTAATAATTTTTAAGTGGTATATAATATGAGGAAAAAAAGAATAAAGTCCCAGTGATGGTTTATACTTTTCGAAGAAGACAACATTTTTTAAATTTTGAAGTAGAGTCGCTAACCATACTCCATAGACTATATATTTTTTGTTGTTTTAAAAAAATCTGTTACACAAATTATACGCTAAAATAATCGGTATTAGTCTAAATTTTTCATTGCTTTTTATCACTTTTACTAAGTCTAAAAAGTACTAGTAGGAAAAGTGCTAATAGTGAAAGTGACCGTGAAACAAATATTACTGCCCTAGCAGTTGTGCCTTATATGTTTCACATAGTGTGGCAACACTACTTCGAACTAATATTTATTTTACTTTGGGAACATTTATACCGGAAAGCTATTGAAAAGATTTTTAAGCTATGTAATAAATGTAATATATTATATGGCATTATACATATCAAAATTTAATATAAAGTATAAACATGGTAACAATTTTGATTAAAAAAGTTCAACAAAAACACATTCGGGGTAAATACAATTTATTTTGTGAATAACACTAATTCTTATTTTGTATCGTAGAAAGCCGAGTCCACATTGATGAAATTTATTTTTAATATTTTATTATTTAGGTATAGTGTGCTTCATTTTTACCGTTAATGAGAAATAATAAAACTTCTTAATGGAATTGTCTCCTACAACAAGAACATACAAAAATTATTAGGCACACAAGAAAAGATTAATGCATTCACTAATTAAATTTGTTAAAGTAAATTATGAGATGTGAGATACGGGAATTATTAGTAATGTTTTAATGTAGTAATTAAATATAGGAAAAATGTGCTTAAGTGTAGATGCAGCATTACAATTTGTAATTATACAATATTCTTTATTTTTAATTATAAATTAGTAATTTTTACCTTACAGACATACACTTATTTTTATATACCGTCCATTTTAAAGTGCCTTTGCATTTTTATTGTAATAAATCATTTTTCAAATATGAGTTCTTGTTTATTACGTTCCTTGGTTGTACATTTCTTCTATGCTGGAAATAATACAAACAGATATATCGTGCTTTGAACTCCTACTGTACAGCTATGGTCATATACAGACTAAATAGCTCCGATATTCTTGGCCATGCCCATTGTTGGTAATTTCGAATCTCACCCTCGAGTTCATTTGCCTATTTTCTTAATACCAAGGTATTTTAATGGATAATTTGAGAGAAATCATGGTCGTAATACAACATACATACAACGTAAATACAACTTTAAACTTAATATCTCGTTTTAAATGTATAAATTCCATCAAAAAGACCAATGAAAAGGGGGCCAAGTTCGCTACAAAGGACCTATAGAGTAACTGCTATAGAGCTTGGCGTCCGTTTAGATCATAACTCTTAAAAGGCGAATCCGACAACCCTAAACTTATGTGGATTAAGTACA